CCTATCACATACAATGTGTTGGAGTGCTAGCCAATAGAATCAGTGTTACATGTTATGTAAGTAAACAAAGGAGCCGCTGAAAACAGACCCCAGTGATCCCCTCACCGGTGTGGATGAGCTTGACGTGGCGCTGCAGGTAGCGGTCGATCATGAACACCTTGTTGCAGCCGGGGTGAGGGCAGGGCCGCTCCTTCATCTCCTCGTGATGCTCCTTGATGTGCTTCTAAACCCCCCCAATAGGAAATTCAGTCCATTAACAGAATATGGAGTAGTATGGAGAAGAACTAAAGAACTGAAATACTAAGTCCTGAAGCATTTCTGGATTGATATACACCATTATTGATCCAATTACTGAATGTGTATCCCTTTAATAACAGTGAAATTATGTCATAGTTTTTTAAATGTGACCTTCAAACCATCAGGAGCTCTGTAGACGGCGGTGCAGCCCTGATACGGACACTTGTAGATGTTAGGCAGCTCCTCTCTGAAAATAAAAACACGAAGGTAGTGTGATCGATGCATGCTGAACAACCTTGTCAAAGTTTACTGAGATGAATTTTAACAAAACAGGAATAAGACCTCTTAAAAACTATACAAACCTACAGCTTCACGACAAAGCATTAGGGCCAAATAGGTAAACAAATTATAATGATTCATAAACCAGAATAGATTTAAATTCAGAATTTCGAAGATCTAAATGGGAAATTGCCAAGATTGATTGAGTTGGTTCATACATTTCTCTTTTTAAATATTCCCTGAAATTAAAGTAGTACATTAAAAAGTGCATATTCTCAAAGTTTATGAAGTCAAACATTTGCAAGACGTTGCCGTCTGAATTGAGTTGTGCCTAAAGCAGTGTCATAATGGTTAGGGTTACCTGCAGTGAGACAAAGGTCCATAAAGATACATCTACATGTTGTATCTGTTATTTTATTTTCATTTTTTCTTACAAATGTATTTCTTTTTTTTCAATCTCTAAGGAATATTCAAGGTTTTTTCTTGTAATATGACCCTCTTGCATTGAATGGCCTCTAACATACAATGGCCCTGAAACACCATGGCACAACTTCCCATAAACTACACATTAAATAAACTGATGCTGAATGGAGGTTGTGTATAAAGAAATATAGACGTGTACGTACGCTTTAGGTTTCAACTTGTTCTTCCAGCCGGGTTTGGGTCCAGGTTTTTTTCTAATTTTGGGCTCCTCCTGGGCCTTCGGGCTCCTTCTTCTCTTGTTGGTGACGCTCGCCCTGGGGGGGGGAGGAAAGCTTCACTAAACACTGTAACCTGCTCCTGTCTGAATTCACCTGCAGTCTGTCTCTGCTGTTTGAGAAGAAACTGAAGAATATCTGCACCCACCTTTTGTCTGGTTCAAACTCATCGTCAGATAACCGCCCTCTCCTACTCTCCTCAAAGTCATCCTCGGAGATTACCCTTCTCACACACACACGCACACACGCACACACGCACACGCACACACACACACACACACACACACACACACACACACACACACACACACACACACACACACACACACACAGTTAAAGTGTAGAAGTTAAGACCTTCCATCATTGCAACATATCACTTAAAAGGCAGAGCAGTGCAGATATTGAGGTTTGGGAAAGGAACCCAGAGGGACTCACCTGTCAGACAGATCACTGTCGGGGGCCCTGTCCTCCAGTGGGGCCACAGCAGGGGACAACGCCTCGTCATGACCTGTGAAGTCTGATAGAGGAAAACACAACAGGACAAACCAGCGGGACATTTAGAGAATGCTCAGTGATGAGATGGTATATTACATATCAGATGGTAACAAATTACATCTGCGGTCACTATGCCAGAGTTTCACAAACCTTTCATATCCTGCAACTCATTTACGTGAATAAACCAAGATACAAAAATTAATAAGTAGTTTTAAGAATGGGATTCACGATATACATCCCATAAATGTGAAATAATCAGTAATCCAATCGTCATTGGCAATGGGAAGCAGGTTATTATTGGTATGGTATCTCTAAAGAATTATTTTAAACTGACTGGGTAAACAGTACATAAAACACATCACAGTTCAACATCCCAGGAAATAAATCAAGTATTGTACAGCTACAAAATATCTGAGAGTAATGAGGGGATCACTGGGGTCTGTTTTCACCGGCTCCTTTGTTTACTTACATAACATGTAACACTGATTATATTGGCTAGCCTACCACATTGTATGGGCGGGATATCTTTACTTATCGTAGCAGTGAAATATTAAGTGAAACAGTGAAATATTAAAAACAAAGAATGATTGATGCCCTGCATTAATATGTATTCTTTCTGCTGTGGAAAAGGCTGTTTTATTTTTATTCTATTTGCATTTGGTCATAAACCAAAGCGCTGGACATGTCACTCATAACTGGAGGTGATCTTCTCATGTGTGGGTGATTAGCATCATATTGATAACATCCTCAGAATATCACCAACACCATCCTGCTCCCTCCTGTCTTACCCCTCTGGGGATTGTATTGTATAGTATATGAATGCATTTCTTATATCTTGTATTGAGTGTTTTTTAGTAAACATGTCTATCCTCTCATGCAGACTTCACTTCAGCACGTACAATGTTGTCTACTTTGAAACCACTGCTGGATTTCTAAGACATACAAAAATGTGGTGAGATCAGAACATGATGACCCTGCTGCAGCAAGCTAAAAAGTATGACTAAAAAACCTAAATAAATAAGAAGACATACTACCCAAAGAACAGATTTATATTACATTACATGTCACTTATTAGACGCTTTTATCCAAAGCGACTTACATACTCAGTACTGTGGGCAATCCCCACAGGGGCAATTTGGGGTGAAGTGTCTTGCCCAGGGACACAACGACATGCTGACTGCAGTGGGGTTTGAACCTGTGACCCCCTGATCCAAACACCAATGCACAACCCACTACACCACCCACCTCCCACCTCCCATTTAGAGTCAATAAGTGAATGATGAAGGGTTGTGTAATATCTGTGACTATATGAAGAGATTGTATCAGAAGACTGAGGATTTCTTGCAACTAACCACTTAAAATCTCAAGCGCCAGGCTTTCTCTTGAGCTATCCAAGAATGATTATTGTTATTGGACACACCAGTAACAGCTGTAGCAGTCTTACCTTCAGGGTTGCAGGTCCAGTCTGCGGGGCTCTGAGAGAGGACTGCAGCCGGACTGTGCTGAGCTAAAGTGCTCACACTCCCCGATGCTGTCCTCACATTCCCGCTGCACCCCTCCTCTTCCTCCTCCTGTTCCTCCTCCCAAGACACCCTTCCCTCTCCATTGTCCCTCCCACTGCATGAGTTCATAGAGAATGGTTGTGCAGCTGGGGTGCACTGAGTGTCCATGATGTATCTGTGACCATCAACACACCCCCAGGCGGCCTGAACAGAGCCCCAGCCCCGGCCCTCCAGCACCTCCTTCAGGTCGGGACAGGAGCGGCAGGCCCCCCCGTGATGGTGGGCCCAGGACACAAGGCTGTGGAGGCACTGAGGGTCTGAGGTGAAGGAGTGAGGAGCTGAAGGGGAACAGCAACAGATAAAGGAGATCAGTCCACCTGCTTTTTATCTCATTTCTGTAAGAACAACCAAAGAAGAAATGCTTTTACTTACTTATCGGGACATGGTTTACTGAGGCTTCTGGACACTTCTTCCTGAAAAAGGAACCAGGCAGTAGCTCATATTTGTAGATGTTTATGCTTGAACAACAGAGATTCTTATAATATAGTCACACTTGGCCAGACTGTTTGTTAGAGCCAGTCCTTTGTTTTGTAAAAATGATACAGAAATATAGTCATGTGACCTCTGTAGTCAAGAGACTATAAAAGACTACATTTCCCACCAGCCTTTTAAGAGACACAGAGTGTGTGAAGACGCCATCAAGATACAGTTTTAAACCGTTCATTTATATTACACAACGTAGAAGACAGAAAGGTGATCTTAGTTGTTTATTATTTTATTTGAGTTTTGCCTCTTTTGTTTTGATTTGTTTGACTGTTGTCCTGTTTTCTTAACGTGTGGTATGAATTTTACGAATGCTATGAGTCGCACAACATCACCACATGATCTGAAAGCAGATAAGTCGTCACAACTGTAAGAATAACAAACGCACTGAAAGGTAATGCGTCTGTTAGAAGCGTCCTCTTCTCAGACTCACCAGCTCTTCAGGTTCTCTTTCCCGACCGGTGGGAGGTTGACTCTCTGCAGGAACCGGATCAGGATGCTGTGGCACTTGTAGAACTTGGAGTGGCATTTCTTGCAAATGAACTCTGATAATCGGGGGTCGCGATCCAACTGGACCCCCACCAGTCGCTGGAAGTCTGTGTGGAATAAGAGGGGGGACGTCGGCTCATCGTCAGTAATATCCGCGGCCCCCCGGGGCCTCCTGTTGAAGGCGTGACGCAGGCTGCGCAGAGAGAACTTCCCGTGGCAGAGCCGGCAGAGGGCGGTGGACAGGCGACCTGATGGAGAACACACAGCAGAGGTTCTTATTAAACTGTCTCTCATGATGCAAATCTGGACGCTTGATTGGAGGGTTACTTTAAAAACGTATTCTGAAACAATTACTAATGACCTGTACAAAAATGTAGTCAGTAGCCAAACTAATTATCACAATATAAATGTAATGTAACCTGATTACTTTCTTTTTCTTCATTTCATGAAGCATATTCACGCAGTAGCCTATACAGAACATGAGCAGAATTAAAATCTGAGTTGACAGAAAATGCAGCGTTTTAGTAGATTACGATAAAATAAAAATAAATGTTACTGTAATGGAATAGATTGTATACTAATTACATAATCTTTTTGCATGTAATCCATTACTCCCCAAGACTATCTAAAAGGAAATATGTGCAAGTAGGGACCTTGAATATAATTAAGTCACTTCTAGCTCAACTCAGAGGACACCATTAAATAAACTGCAAATCAAACCGGGCTTTGTTTTTGTCAGAAATGTTTACATAGCTTAGAACCTATAAGACAGTCATATCAGCATAGATCTGATCCAATAAGCAGGAGAATAAAATCGACTTCCACTTTGTGACGACCAACAGATTTTTTTGACAGCAGAACTATCCAAGAAGATGTTTTCTGATAAGCAAAGCACTGCATTTTTATTAAATATATTATTTTGGTGACTTCTATGTGACCAAACCCAATTACATCTATATGTTTCTGTTTCTGTAGTAGATTGGTCTTTTATGCAGTATTCAAATGTATATTGCATATTTTATATTGTGTATTCTTAAGATACTCTATTGATACAATTTATTTGTTATTCTTTTTTTATTTTATTCTATTATTTTGTTATGACTTTTAGCAATGCTGTTGTTACAAAACAATTTCCCAACTTTGGATGAATAAAGCATCCCTCCATTCTCCCGGGACACTGACCCGCGGCTCTGATCTTGCCCTCTGGAGGTTTCTGTGTGTCGACAGCTGCGTTCACACTGCAGTCTAAGTCAGCCATGTTGTCTTTTTCTGCGTCGTCATGGTAAAGGTTGTCAGTGGTAACAGGGACGGTCTTCTTAGGTCGGCCTCTGTTTCCAGACGGCTTCTTCTCCTCAGTGACGCTCGTCTGCGTCCCGCTGCTCTGCGATGGCCTTGGACGTCTGCTTTTCTTCATAGTTTATCGATTCTTGGAATCTCAGCAGCAGATCCTGATGATGGAGCCCTGCAGCCTGAGACACATATATGTGATAAAATGAAGATATAATAAGTTAAACTTGGTCATATCTATTCTTGTGTAATATATCCTAAAATGACTGTTCATGTTGTTTGAATTATAATGTGCAAAATATTACATCTGTCCTATAGAAAGCTCCTTTTTTACCCAGCCTTCTGTGCACCAACATATGCAGTGGTGGAATGTAACCAGGTACATTTACACAACTACTGTACCAATTATCAATTTGAGGTACTTATACTTTACTCGAGTACTTCCATTTCTGCACATTTAGACTTTTTCTCCACCACATCTCAAAGGGAAATATTGTACTTTTGACTCCACCTCATTTATTTGTCATTTGGAGTTACTAGTTACTTTTTACATAAGTAACATAACATGTTTACTTGTAATGGAGTATATTTAGACTGTGGTATTAGGACTTTAGCTTCAGTAAAGGATCTGAGTAGGATGTTTTTCCATACCAAGCATTCATGCAACTGAGTTACCAATGAATTATTTTTGCAATAAGCAGTAGAATTCAATCATATAAAATCTGAATCATTTAGTGGGAATACTGATACAGCATTCTTCTACGCACAAATTCTTTATTCTTATTCAGGTAATTTTGCGTCTCTTGTGCTCCCACATCGCAGAAACTCCATTCAAACATCAAAACGTTCAGCTCGATCGGGAATCAATGGCTATTACTTTTCTCATTCATAACTTTCATAATTCCAGGGATATATCCCATAATTCATCACATTTTTAACATGGAAGTTAATGGAAAAACTCTTCAGACTTGAAAAATCTTCATGCGACTTCAACTACTAACTGCTCCTTCTTCAACTGCTAACTGCTCCTTCATACTTTCACTCAAAAACCTCATTCCAACTTTAAAATGTTACACATCTTTCTGACATTATTCGTGTTACACAACTTTTAAATCAGATTCATACTTTTAGAGATATTAAACATTGTTCAGACCTTGGTAAAGAGACCTTCTTCAGATTTTAACATTAGTGTATATTGCGTATAGGTATTGCGCAGCTCGTTAAGGCTAGAGTGCGTGATGTCACAGCTAGAGTGGGGGACAGCTTGAAATTCACCTTCATATCTTTTTTTAAACCTGCCATAATTCCCAAACCCTACACTCCTGAGACATAATTTTTCATGAAAAACTTAGGAAAACCTCTCCTAGATTGGAAAATAATTTTTTAAGCAAAATAATGAAACAAAATGTCTCTTGAGGGCATGAAGTGACAAAAACGTTCAACATGTCTCCATTAAGGCCCATTGTAAGTTCAGCCTGATCTTTCCTCACAGCAGCAGCCGCACACCTTTAGTTAATCTGCCAAAAAGGCCACATTATGGACCCGAAAGTACACAAAAAGCACACTTCAGACGCTCAGGGTCCTTGACATGCTTCACGCGTTGAAATTTCACCGATATCTGTTACAGTTCTTCAACAAAACGTTCACATGTAAGAGGTTTATCTCTCATTCAGAACATTGGAAAGGCTCTCCTCTCACTGATTACTGCACATCACCATGGAAACCTTTGATCTCTGGACTCAAGCACAGGTGTTTCATAACGTTGTTACCTCAAACATAAACACCTGTGTGTTACCGACATGCTCAGAACGCCACCAAACATAACATGATGGTTAACACTGTGGCCCTGAACATCTCTACGTCAAATCTGATGTTACATAATGCGGTGTTACCATGGCAACGCATGCCTCGCCATAAAACACGATATCGCTGTAACTCCAATGGACACGGTTCGATCATCCCCCAATGTTCACTTGTATATCACCGGTCCATGCCTCAACAGCTCTATGCCAAATCTGACGCATCCCTTTTCAAAAAACCCGATGTTGTCGTGATTAGTGTTGCACGGTGTACCGATACTTGAAAGGTACCGCGATACCCTGCCGTTAAAAACGTTACGATTCCTCCGTTTCATTAGTATCGGTACTTTAAGAATGACGGGGCAAAGTACTCCGGTGAGAAAGCGCTGTTTTAATAAGAGCTGCGTGCGTTCAGCGCTCTGCTTCCACTCCCTGCACTGCAGCCGTGCCTGCAGTCCCTCCCCTCTCTCGTGCTAGCTGCCAGAGCATGTGAGAAAACGAGAAGCATGGCTGCAAGTGGGAGTGCAACTGCCGCTGCGCCTCGGCTTGCTGACAAAAAAGATGCCAGAAGCTAAATTTGGAAGTATTTTAGCTATATCTCTGACAGTGAGGGCAAGCCTAGGGACACCACGAGGCCTGTCTGTAAGAAATGTTTTAGATCCCTGCAAACCAAGGGAGCCAACATATCAAACTTGGCTAAGCACCTCGCCGACCGGCATCCAGAGCTGTTTAAGGAATTTAAAGACAGACAGGTTAGCGAATGTGATAGATAACATAATTACATCATGCTCATGCCCTCAAATCTAAGTCAAACAAGTGTAATTTATTTTGTGACAAACGAACGTTTTCGTAGTTTGACGAGGCAATTAATGGCAATGATAACTGTCTAATATGGCTATCTTTTTAGCTAACTTACCAATGTGGCTAACATCTGCAATGTACATTTTGTCAATAATTATTTATATTACTGTACTACTATTACATGTTAATAAAATATAAAGTTAACTATCAAAGCAATCACATAAACTCAAGTATAAAGAAGAGACCATGTTGTAAGAAAACACTTAACAGATAAACTACCATTTTATTTATCATGAAAATAATAAAAGAAAAGTATCGAAAAAGAATCGGAATCGCAATCCTTGACTTGGTATCAGTATGGAAACCAAAATGTTGTTATCGTGACAACACTAAGTGCAATATATATATGCCATTAATAACTGTGTAATTTATACCTGGCTGCTAAATCGATATATATATGCCGTTAATAACTGTAATTTATACCTGGCTGCTAAACCCTTGTTACTGTTACAAGGTATGTATTTTGTAAATTGTGTAACTTGCTGCTGTTAAATACCGTCAAACTATGTGCAATATGTGCTTTATGTGCAATATATACTTTATATACATATGCCATCTTTAATAACTAATATATACCGGGCTGCTAAATCCTAAGAACTGCTACAGGATTTGATTTGTAGATTTGATTTGTTTTTTATCTGTATTT